CTGTTGACATATGTCTTTCAGAACTTCTGTGGAGATTACCATGTTGATTCTCATTGGCATGTTATTGGGCTCCTGTGAAAATCTTTACACCAGTGTTGTCTGTATGTGTACTTATTTATGTCAAATAAGAATGCCTGACAGCCATATTGAATTCCCTCTTTTTTTTTACCTCTGCTTTTTTATTATTTGCTTCAGCAAATCTAATTGGGATTAGTATTTGAATGAACGGTTTGCATCTCCAGAAGGGTGTTGTAGGGATATTGTTATTATTATTGTTACAAATAAATAAAATAATAATAACAATGAAAATAAAAATAATAAAATAAAAAAAATAATATTTAAATCTTGTTTAAAACAAATTAAATAAAAATAAATAAAAATTACTCCCAGCATGCAACTAAAACTGTTCCTGCTGGAAATATGGAGATCTTGCCAAAAGACGTGAGATTCAATCTCTTTGCCCAAGAACTGTTGGGATGAAAATATGTGTGTAATTTCAATCTGTGATAGAACTTGTGATATTACAGAGTAACTTACTTCCTTTTATAACATGAACATTATCACAATTGTAACACACACACAAATACATAAATAAAATTGTATGAAATTGCCATACAATTTGTTATGCCTTCTCTGTATTGTGTACATTTATTTTTCCTGTTTTTATCTTTGTAAAAAGAAGCCTAAAAATCTACTACCACTACTCCTATGGTATGAGTGAATACCCCACAATATCATAATAAAAGGTTTCCTTTCTAACACCATCATATGCATCACATGTTTGTTTGGATGAAAACCTATCTTTGGTTATGGTAGTTAATTTCACTTGCTCTTGACCTCTTGTATTTTAGATTGTTGTAAAGTATTTGCACTTAAGTACATGTCACAATTTATTTAAAAGATGTAACATTTCTATTATATTTAGCAAATTACACACACAAATACAGCCCAGTAGTCTTTTCTGTTTTCTTTAAGAAACTAACATAAGCAATGTGTTATAATTTTTTTTTTTATACTGTTTGTTCACCCAGTACAATAGATTTTTATTGAATGAGATTGTTATAAAGGAGAGGGATGGTGAAATTAACAAATGCATATTATGAGTATGTGTAATATAGATGTCAGTTGACTCTGGATTTCTATAAACCTAATAATTAATTATATCACAAAATTTTCAGTGCTCAGTCCAACTATCTGTAGATTCTCTAACATCCACAAAAACAGAAAAAAATGATAAATGTTTAAAATGAATTTTTAAAATGAAAAATTTTTCTTGAAGCTTTTAGTTTAGTTTTAGTTTTAAGTTAATACTAATAAGATTGAATTTAATATTTCCAATAAGCAAAATACATATACAAGTGAGGCTTTCCAAGATTAATTTTGGGAGCTGTTTACCAGGGAGCCCTGCTCATTTCAATGCCTACCTAGCAGACTTTCCCTGCCATGAAGTGGCTGAAGCAGTTGGGTGTGAGGGTCCCATCACAGAGTCTGAGATTTGGGATGCACTGAAGCAGGTTCACCTGGACAAAACACCAAAATTAAATGGTCTTTCTACAAAATGGATTAGATGGCCTTCCTTACGAAATTAATTTTGCCCCCTTGCTGGCACTGATTTACAACAACTGGATGAAGCAGGGGTATGATCAAGTTGTTTTGCAAGAACAAAAATAGTGGAGATGGGATAAAAAATTATCAACCTTTGATGATGTTAAACACAGAGTTGAAGATTTTAGCTAAGATCTTAGCCAGCTGTTTGCAGGCTGTCCTCACTAGTCTGATTGGTCCCCAGGCAGACTTGTGCTGTGAAGGGCAGGACTATTCAGGACACCCTTCATTTGGTACACTTGATCATTGAACAAGCTAACAGTGATGTAGTGCTGATCAATTTAGATCAGTCCAAGGCTTTCGATAGGGGCTGACCATCAGTTTCTGGAGGCTGTCCTTTCAGCGATTGGTTTTGGGTCCTACTTTCACGCCTGGATGCAACTTCTGATGTGAGTACATTTTTTATTTCATTTTTAAGTACTCAGTAATCTTAAAAATTTTGGAAAACATTTTCCATAATCTAATGTTTTACTGAATTTTAGAAATTTTGGCTTTAACTTTATTATAGTCATTGATCTTATCTTCTGATCATGTCATATATGATTGCCCATACTTTAAAAAAACGGTACATTTATACACTAATAAAAACATTCAAAATTTTTAAAAAAATATTGAAGTTTCATGATTTGCATTAAACTTTTTCATTTATGATTAGTAAATATAGTTTTCACTTAATAATATCATCAAAAAGACTGAAATTAATACAGAATTTTAAAAGATCTAAAACTTACTAAATTTTTCTGATTAAAATTTGGAAAAATGAAAACAATTCTTTTAAAAATTCATCTAAAAGATTTTTTAAGTCAATAGTGTCCCTAATATATCTTACTTATAAAAGCAATTAAACGCTTCTCTTATTAAATCATGTCATAGTTTTTTTGCATTTTTTATTTTACAATTCAGAGCAAATTTTCAGTAAATGGTGTTTCTGTTTGACAAAACAAATTGATGATTTAAATTCTTTGCTTTTACCTAATAGAAACACGAGCATCCTGAAATTTTAATTTCTCAAAATTTCATAAAATTAAGTAAGTGGGGGTATCAGATGTAAAAAAAAAATATTTTTACCAAGATTTTCTAAAAACAATATTTTAAAAATAATTTAATTCATTTGTGAATAAGTCCTGAAAATTTCATTAAAATCTGACAATTTTGCAAAAATTTCCAAAACAGTGCGTTACCACCACTGACGCAAGAAAGACAAGATTTTTAACCATTTTGGACATGCTAGAAAGGATTAAAAGATTTAATAAAATAATAAAAAAATACTTTGGTCTTTCCTAACATAAACATTTTGATAATAAAACTTTGTATTTATCAAGTTTGGGACCTTTTTCATCATCGTTTTTAGAAAATCTTTGGAAATTTCTACTCATATATATATATATATATATATATATATATATATATATATATATAAAACTACTTAATTATTCACAGAATTAGTTATATAACAAATATAAAGACATTAATAAAATATGTAGTTTTTGTTTAAGTAGCACAAAATTTTTATATATCATAATGATCCATATTTGTGGGTGTTTGTAATGCAATTTTTTTTTTTTGCTTCATCCTCCAAGAGGATTTGTACATTTTATTACAAAAATAGTTTTTCTAAACTGATAGTTTGTTTTTTGAAAATCATTTAACACAAGACTTCTGCTGATTAAGTTTATTAGAAGTACAACTAAAGTTAACTTTAAATTCTAAATACAGTTGAAGTTTGGCTACTTACAGAATAGTTTCCTAGAAGTCTATTTGCAAATAATTATCATCTGAATTCTATTAAGTAGAAAGTAATTTGATATCAAGTGGTTATTAAATACTTGCATTATTTATAAAAATTAATGAACCCTGTTAACCAAAGATTGAATCCAAAATCATGAACAAACATTTTAGAATACTTTATTCACTACAAGAGCCAGCGCATTTTGTACATTCAAGAGGAATGTATTATATACTTAAAAGAAATAAAGTTTTGACTTTCCAAATTTATGAAAAGTTGGAAAAGAATCATAGCATCATACTTGTTCATGAATATTTTTCATATCAAAATTATTTCTCTTTAAATCTACTAAATAAAAAGAATAAATTCATTGTTTTGCATAAGATTTGGATTTGATGTTGACAAGTGGCTCTGCTTGGTTTTTACTTTTGAGTCAAAACTTGCTTTGCATGTAAACTGTTTATTTAAAATAAAATCTTGTTAAAATTGAAACATTAGCATACCCATTAAACATTAGCATTAATTTTTTATTAGAAAAGTAATTAAAATTAATGACACGAGCAGTTAACAGAATTATATGATTTAATGAAGTTCTCTATATGTATTATAAAACTCTAATTAAAAAGAATTACAGAAATATTTAAAATTTGCATTTAAAATACTGACATTCTTCATTGCAAAAACATTGCATAAAAATAATGTTATTAGATGAATTTAATGAGTTTTAACACTTGAAAATTGACCTCATTAGTTAAGATATTTACATAAAAGACCTTGAATACTATAACTTTAAAAGAATAAAATATTATTTTCTCTACATTTACTTCTATTATTATAAAAAAGTGAAAATTTGTTTTATTATATGATAAATTTTCAAATTTAGGTTTAATATTCTCATATGAATATTTAGGTTTTGCTTAATCAAATCAACCTCTCCAGTGTTCTGATTTTGCCAAGCCTGTCAGGATGCAGAGTGTAAGGAAGTTTTAACTCTGAGTAAATAATTATAAACTTCCAACATTTATATACACAAAAATACTTGTAAAAATGAGTAACAGCAAGACATGGAAATGACAAAACAAGTATTATTTATTATCTGGTTGTATTTGATGTTGGTGAAGTATTTGATGTTTGTGAAGAGACAGTAATACTAAGTAAAATTGTGAGTTTGGGGCTAAATGTAGATCAAATATGGATCAGAATCTGACAGAATGATAAGATAAAGAATAAGCAACGTTTATACAGCCTTTCTAGTATGCTTCTTTTTTTGTTGTTTTTATAGATGTGTGTAATGAGTGTCCAAATAATTTAGTTAGAAAATACAAGAATTGTCTGGGCTTTTCTTACCTCAAATTTTTGTTGAGTATTAAAAGATAAGTCACTATTATGGCCTTACAAAGGAAAAGTAGACAAAATTTTCATTGATGCATGTGTTGACAACCTGTCCATTTGAAATCCTTGTCCGATGGTGGGAATGTCACATGTTTGCATGTAGAGGAGAAAAGTGGGGTTGATTCTCATTGGTTTAGAATGAATGAATTAATGATAATTATAATTGTTATGATTATTTTATTATAATTTTATTTTTGACACAATAATTAATTTTTATCTATTTTTTATGAACATGACAAGAGTAATAAAATCTCTTTGTAAGAAACTTATTACTTACCAGGTATATCAATCCCTCCATATGTAACATAGATTTTGTACTTTCCAGGTTCAGTAGGAATGTAAGTAATTGCAATTTTGTTGTTCTTCTCTTGGCCATCAAAAGGAATTATCTGTCCTGATGGGCTTACAATTTTAACAGCATATTCTGCTTGGCCAGCACTTGAATAATTGACTAGAAAATAGGAAAATAATTAAAAAATAAATTTGAAAGTTTTCTGAGAAGTTTTTATTTAAAAGAAGCTAATTTTTATTGAAATTTCACAGTCAAGGCTTTATCATACTACTGAAGAAATCATTGTTTGTAAAACAGTCACATGCTATTTGTGTATATAAGAGAGAAAGAAGTTTAATATACAATAAGTATTAGATCATAAGACAGCAGAATAACACAATTATTCTTCAGATAAAATTATGTGTATTTGTGTTACAGAAGATGAGATTCTGCATTTGTATTTTTCAGACAAGCATTTGCAAAAACTGAAAACAAAAATGGATATTTTTACTACATTACTGAAAGAAATTAAATAACTAATTTTAAAACCTTCAGATATTTTTTATAAAACATGGAATAATTGCATAAATGTAAATTATTTTCAAAAGCCTAGTAAAATTATACTAAATAAATACTGTTATTAAATTGTTATGTGATCTCTCCATCTCTTAAATATAATAAAAATCATTTATAAAGCTGGAAATTTGCCATCAAAGATTTTTATCAACTTATTTTTCATAATTTATGTTGAAATTTTTTAGATGTTTCATAAATAGCATTTAATATTTGTTTTCTGTAATTATAAAGATCTAAAATAACTTTTTTATTACCTTCTTTAATTTTGTATTAAAAACAAAAGTAACTAAAAACACTCTTTGGACATTACCTTTTTTAATAAAATTAAGTCTGTAAGTGTAATGAATAACAAGGTTAAAGAAGAATTCACTTTAATATTCTTTTCTCAAACTAATTTACATGGGAAAATGTTTTGAAATCAGTATGTATTAGAAATCATGTTTGTTCTTCCTCTTTGTGGAGGACACAGTGACCAGATATTTTTTGCTAACCCACATACTCTTTTCAAAGCAAGAGTATTAAATTTAATGGCAGTTAATATTTCTATGGTTAATTAAAATTTAATTTGGGAATACAAATGCAAACCTTTATAATCTGATGTATTATTACTTCATTATTTGTGAAAATTTCTTAAAATCTTTTCTGCTGCTAATAAAATAAACAAACATAAATTTAAGGAATTTTAAAAGTACAAGTTTGGTGAAAAGTTAAATGATGTATTGTGTAATAAAAAATTAAAAGGGATTCTAAGATATTTATTTCAAGAGAAAAATTAAGTACAATGTTTATTTCTGGTCAGACATTTCTAGAGCTGACTTATTGATTATTATATGAAATTCTTCTGCTTATATTAATGAAATTAATAAGTGCTTATTAATGAAATGGTAATAATATTAATAAATTGTTTATAATAAATATTTTTTGTATCAATTACCCTACATACAATCTGTTAGTGGCCTGCTGGCATGCTGCTGATGGCAACGCCAGTGGTATTTTGGTGGCAACCACCGGCAGGCCATCAGTGACCCTCTGAGATGAATACACAAGCGATCTGACAGCAGGCCACCTGCAGTAAATGCTAGTGGCATGCCACCCAGTAGCAGATTGGTGGCTTGCATGTAGGAATGTTGTTTTTATATTAAATTTTCCAGAACAAAATTATTGTATATAATTAATAGTTTGTTTATAGACAACATATAGAAAAATTAATTTTAAAATTAAGGTTATATTAAAAAGAATTTTTTTGTGAATAAATTTTTAAAACTTCTGATTATAAATTCTAATAATGTTTTAAATTGTCCAAGATCCTGTTGAGCTAATGGTAAATATTTGAGTACTTTAATAAGAATCAAATGAAAAAAATAATACACTTTACAGATAAACTTATTGTTGATTTAATATTTTTGGGATATCATTGCCTTTCAATAATTCTTCCTAGAAAATCATACAATTCAAAGCCAGTATTTAATGAAAATATTCTATTATCAGTCCAAGGTAATCTAGAAAATTAAATTCCATTCTATCAGTTGAAATAAAAATGTATAAGAAAATATAAAAGAAATTTAAAGTAGAAAACAAATATTTTTCTTGATTTTAAATAATCATTAGATCAAAATTCAGGATAACCCACCTGTCAAATCACATCATGTATAAATTAAAAGATGTAACAGGAAATCTCCAGTGAATAAAAACAATTTTTGGAAATTTTAAAATGGCTGGCATTTTATCAAAATATCTTGAATGTTCAACAGAACCAATTCTGATGATGATCTGTTGAATTAAACATAAAGCCCTTTGTAGATAGGTACTTTTTCAGACTCTTATTTTTCTCACAACTAACATTTTTCATTACTCATCAATGCACAATTTAAAAATATTACAAGTCCTAGTGCAGTTAATTGCTTTGATTATGCATTAGGTAATGGAAATAGTAACTAGAGATAGAGAGAAACAGGCAACAGCTTCTTAAGGCCAGTTAATAATAGTAAAAAAATGAACATAGCTAAAACAAAGGAAAGCATTCCAATTTTTTTATGCTAAGATTTATTTTTATTTAGCATTTCTCCATACACAATTATTTAACTCATTCAGCAAACTACAATTTCTTGGTTATATAAAGCAACTAGCCACTTAAAAAAAAAAAAAGAAGAGAAGTTTGAATTGGAAAGATGAAATCATTCAACTGATTAATCATGACTTTATTTAAATGACAACTCTCAAGGGTCAACTACTGATGTGTTAATGGTTACTACTAAAAGATAGTTATTACTTTAGATAAAAATGGTGATGCTCAAGTTGTGGATTTAGATATCTTAAAGGTGTTTGACAGGGTTTTGCTTGTAGATCTTCTTCACAAGTTGAATGGTTACGGTGTCTCCAGATGAATTTTTGATTTGGTCCAATCTATCTTCATGTAATGAAAGCCATGTTGAATGGCCACTCTTCTAGATCCTTTTACATTAATGTGGATGTTTCCTAGGGCTCTATCCCTGGACTTATTTTGTTTCTTATCTTCATCAATAACTTACCTGATGTCATCAGTATTTATGCTGATGATATAACTATATACTCTTGTCATAATAGTAAGTCTGATAGGTCTAATAATGTAAAACTGGCAAATGATCTCAAAAATGACTGTCAATCAGTTGTTAACTAGAGCAAGAAATGACTTGTTAATTTTAATGCATCCAAAACCTAACTACTATCTTTTAATCATCTTAGAGAACCATTTTCACTTTCCATCAGTATGGCTGATGCTAATCTCCAGGAGATCAACTCATTGCATCTTATTGATCTCACATTTTCCACAGTCATAAAGTGGAATTATTATATTAAATCACTTTCTAAATCTGCTACTTGGAAAGTTTCACTGTGTTGTGCCATGTTCACTGTGTTCCTACATGTTTATAAATTTACCATTCATCCTTAAATTGAATATTGTTACCACATCTGGTATGGCGCTCTTGCTATATATTTTGTGATTCTTGATATGGGATTCTGGCCTGGGATTTCAAATTCAGTCAATTTTCCACCTCCATAATGTGGTTTCCCTGTGTCTTTTATATAAATATTTTCATTGTAATTGCTTTCAACAGCTTTCTACTTTGGTACCTCAACTGCATCAATCTAAACAGTACTAGATTGGCATAATGTCTCATCATTTTACAGTTGAAATATCTAGATGTAGCCATAAGTTCTATTCTAATAGTTTTTTTTTCTTACCTGTGGAACTCTTCCAATTTCTTGCTTCCTTGTCACCTATGATCTTCAAAAATTTAAATGCAAAATTAAACACTATATTTTGTCTTCTGTATTCCCAATCTTTTATTTTCCATAAATATTTCATAACATTATAAACTTAATTAGAAAAATTAATTTTGTTTTTTATTCAGTATTATTCAGTATTGGAAGTAGCTGCATTTATTTTTGTAATATATTACAATAGATATGACTTGCCATAATGAAATGCATTAACTCATTAGCATTGACAATATAAACAATAAAATAAAACTCACATCTGGTTAACCTCTGCAAAAAATTATTATCTTATAAACTCTAATCATCTTTTAAATTAAAAATATTAAAAGCCTAAATTATAACATGTCCATATTTTTTTTGTAATAAACAGTTTTTGTTCTATAACTGCTATAATTCCATCTTTAGCAAAGCTACTTTTGAATGGATATATTTATTACAAGCCTTAATTTACATAGGTACATTTCAGGAAGCAGTCTCTGGTATTGAAGAGTAATCTCATGTAACTCTTTCATGTGGATCAATGGTTTGAGTTGTTTTCTTTACAAGTTGAAAGGTTATGGTGTTTCTGGACAAATTTTTGAACTGATTCAGTCTTTCTTATCAAATCACGAAATGAAAGTTATCTTGAATGGCCAATCTTCTAGATCTTTTTGTATAAATGCAAGTGTTCTTCAGTGCTCTATCCTTGGACTTATATTGTTTCTAATTTTTATTTAATGACCTTCCTGATGGCATCTATGCTGATGACACAACTATTCACTCCTATCTTAGTAGTAAGTCTAATCAGTTTGATAAAGTCAAATTGGCAGTTGATCTCAAAAATGACCTACAATCTGTTGTTAAATGGGGCAACTGCTCTCTTTTAATCATCTGAGAGAACCCTTTTTACCTTCCATCAGCTTGGCTGATGCTTTCAAGGAGAATGACTCATTGTACCTTCTCAGAGTAACAGTTTCAACTGAAATGAAGTGGAAAGAGCATATTGAATCAGTTGCTAAGTCTGCAGCTAAGAAAGTTGTTTCACTCTGTTGTGCTAGACAATTTTTATCACCAGAAGTTATCTCACATATTTATAAGTCTGTCATTCATCCTTGCTTAGAATATTGCTGCCACATCTGGTGTGGTGCTCCTGCTATATCTTTAGAGCTTTTTGATATAATCCAAAGAAGAATCTGCAATGTTAATGGTCCTGACCTGGCATCACTCCCTTTCCCTGTACCTTTTCTACAAATACTTTCTTGGTAATTGTTCTGATGAACTTTCCTTTATGATACCTAGACTTTATGAATTTAAGTGCAGTACTAGATTGATGGCAAGGTCTTATCAATTTAAAGTTGAAATGGCTAGATGTAATCATAAGTTCTCTGCGAACAGTTTCTTCTATTGCACTTGTGAAAATCTTTTCTGGCTTCTTGCTTCTCAACAACTTTGATCTTTAAAAATTTAAATGCAATATCAATCATTTTCTTCTTAATTCTTATTTTTTTATTGTCCCCTCTCCTTAATAGTAGTTTTTCTCCAATTATCTAACAATTAGTAATCTCTTGCATCCTAGTGACTTTTTTGCCTTGCTTGAGGTTAAATGATTAAAAAAAATTAAATTGTCTCATAGTTGGCCGAATCTTCGTGCTTGATAAATTGTCTGAACTTGGAATTGTTTTCGCTGTTTCTTTCTCCTGTTGTTCTTAATTTTATTGAAAGCATGTCTCCCAAGCCCACTATTTGGTGAGGGCGGAGGATTGACCATTGATCCCCCCTACAACAGGTCGATGCTTGGACTTAAGGTAAGCCATACATTCACTTGTTATCATGAGGAAGAAAGCGCTGGTTGACCTAATACAATCATTCCTGTCAAACCGTGAATTGAAGGTCGTTCTCAATGGATTCTCCTCCAGTTCCTATCCCACGAATGCAGGTGTTCCTCAAGGCTCCATCCTAGGCCCCACTTTATTCCTTATCTACATAAATGACCTTCCTGACGCCATAAATTCCCAAGTTGGCATCTACGCGGATGACACCACAATTTATTCCTGCCTCAAAAACAAATCTAGTGTCACTGACAAAACTAACCTGGCCGTGCATCTTGAAAAGGACCTCCAATCGATTGTGAACTGGGGCAGGAATTGGCTGGTCAACTTTAATGCTTCAAAAACAAAAACTGCTCTCTATTAATCACCACAGAGATTCTTCCCTGTCCTCCATTAGAATGTCTGACGCTCAACTTCTCGAGAGCAACTCTCTCTGCGGCTGCTCGGTCTCACGTTGACTGCTGACCTGAGATGGAATAAATACATTGAGTCAATTGCTTCGTCCACTGCAAGGAAAGTTGGCTCCCTGTGCCGCGCCCAGGAAATTTTTCTCCCGGAATCGATCCTCCAGATCTACAAATCAACAATTCATCCTTGCATGGAGTATTGCTGCCATATATGGTCTGGAGCCCCTTCTGTTTGCCTCGGGATTCTTGATAGGTTCCAGAGGCAGATATGCAATATAATTGGCCCTGCTCTGGCATCTCGTCTACAGTCACTTTCTCACAGTTGCGCCGTCACCTCTCTCTGTCTGTTTTACAAATACTTTCATGGCAATTGCTCCAAGGAGCTGCATTCGCTGGTTCCCAGACTTCATGAGTTCAAGCGCCCTACGAGGCTGGCATCCCACTCTCACCCTTTCACTGTTGAAATTATTAAATGTAGCCATCTCTTCTACTCCAATAGCTTCATGTCTCACACCTCTCGCCTGTGGAACTCCCTTCCCTATTTCAGTTTCCCTGAGAGCTATAATCTCCAGCTATTCAGACGTAATGTCAATTGACATCTCCAGTTGCCTTGATCTATCCACTACCCTTCCCCTCATCCTTTCTTCTATCACTCTTATCTGATCTTGCTCCAAATTTTCTGTCACCCCTTGCATCCTAGTGGCTTCTCCACCTTGCTTGGGGTGAAATGCTTTAAAAAAAAAAAATATAGAAAAGGACTCCATTTTTATCAAATACATCTTGAACTACACTGCTGTAGGACATTCTTTTTCAATTTGAGCATAACCCTGTTTGATAGCAATGAATGTGAGGTGTGGACCAATGGCTTAATGACTCCATTGTGTTCCTGAAACAGAACACAACAAATTGTGCCCAAACTGACAGTTTTGTGTTATTCAAGATCTAATTGGTGTCTATTTTGCTGCTAATTAGACCTAAATATTTTACATGTGTCAAAAAATTTGTAATTTTCTGCTTGTCCTGTGAATTCAAAACCAGTTTAAAAGGGGTTGGACTCAAGTTATCTAGTGCTGCTATGGCTACATTACATATGGTGCACTTACAACTCCTAATGACTTATGACTGTGATCATGACTTGTATGCAAAATCCAAATTCCTATTTGTTTAATAATATCTTAAATCTTTTCTCATGCTTTTAAACAGTTTTACTCATGATTATGATGTCATCTATAAAACTTGGAAAACAAATATGTACCAGCATCATATCCAATCCAATTCTAGCTACTGCTAAATATTGCTCAAATACACATTACCAACAGTCTTTTTCTTATGATTTTGCTGTTTAATAAAATATATTTTATAATTTGTCACTTTTAAGCTAAACTTGCAAAAAGAACTTTTATTTCATTTCTTGTGGAAAAATCAAATCTTATATTTTCTTTATTGAAATCACTATTAAGAGTCATTTTAGAATCTAAATTTCCAAATACTTTTTGTATAATCTTACGTCATTGATACTATATTATAAAAATCAAAGGTAAAAAAAATTCTAGTTGCCTTTATTTAAATCTAGTCAGAGTTAATAACAATATCAATAATTTAGAATGCTGTTTATGCCTTTTTTAAACTTTTGTCAGTAGCATTAAATAGTGTATAAAAAATATTTGATTAATGTTTTATTTCTCTCTTCCTGTTTTTTTTCATCTTTTCTCAGGTTTTTGTCATCACTTTTTTTCACTGAAGCTTTAAAAGAGTGGATGCTTCATGTGAATTTATTTCATACATTTTAATTAAAGCAGTCACACTTTTTTTTAAATAAATTCATTAACAATTTTTAAAATATGCAATTTACTTCTTTTTTAAAAACTGTTTTTAAACTTTCCTTTTGTTATTTTGTTTAATAAATATTATCTTGCAAATCAATTAGTCTCTGTTATTTAGTGCATGTATCTTTTCACCACCATTAATTCATATAAAATATTCTCATAGAAACTTTATACATTAATTATAGAAGTAGATAATACACTAAAGCTGTTTTTATCACTCCTTGAAAATGTAGAATTTTATGGAATATAAGGAAGGTAATGAATATTTATTATTTTTAGTTTAATTATTGTTTATATTATATTATTGTTTATTTACCAAGATAATATGGTTGTATATTTTTTGTGAAAGTTCTTAATGAAAATAGAAATTAATGAGGTCATTATAAGAGTAGAATTCCTTAATTTTCTCATTATATGTTTCTTTAAACAAAATTAAAATTTTACACTTTAATTAATTTTAACTTAAATTATTTATTATATTTTCAGAAACAAAGAAAATTTGGAGTAATAAGGTATCCTTACCAACAAATTTAGCTTGTTCTCCAACATTTGAGGAACTGAGTGCATCAACATTGACTTTATTAATGTCAAAGACATCAACAGTAAAAGGACTACCTTGGATTTGATGACCACCAAAATGAACATCAATAAAATAACATCCTAAAATTAAAAACCAAAACAAATTTTTATGTATGAGAGTGTGCACATAACTGAATGATTTAATATTTCTTGTAAGAATAAATGATTTTCATATATATTTGAAGGTATCATTTAGCAAAATGGCATCAACATTGAATAACAAATATTATTGTAAACCAACTGATCAAGTTTGCCAAAACCAAATATAAGAGTAACAATTTTAATTAACATTCATATAAACTTAACATTTTGTTTTATAACATCTTACAACAGTTCATGAAAAATTAGAATAAAAATTATGATAGCTTTCAAATAACTTTCTTGCATACCATCATTCTTTAAATGACAGAAAAAATATACTGTAACTTTGTTAAAATAGTGAGAAAAATTTTATCAAATTATTATTTTACCATTTGTTTTTTACATTATATTTTAAATTTTTACATTGTAAATAAAGTGAAGCTATGTAAAAAGTAACTTTTATTCTATTTGTTTATTACCTGAAATAGTTGGAGTCCATTCAACTTTGTAGTCACCATCATACTGAGGAATCATACGTGTTGGAATCAAAGCATTATTTGGTGCTGGAAAATAATTTGTCATTTTTTCCAATAAATTATTTTATGTATGCATTATAAAAGATAAGCATAGGTTATATATATATATATATATATATATATATATATATATATATATATATATATAAATATTTTAATTTGGTTTTGAATTTTCAAAATAAAGAGGAAGTTCAAAATTAAACATCAATTGATAAGACACCAATTTCAAACAAATTAACAAGATGGCCATTTTTGTAGTGATGTTATAACATATTTATGTCATAATTTTTGAATAAATACTATAGTGAAGGTAAAATAAATCCATGGGTATAATAATCTGAGTGGACCCTAGTAATATAAACATATTAAAACTGATTCACAAAAGAGAGCTCGATGTATTTTATTTATAAAGAGCAATATGAATGAATAATCCAAAAAATTTTTTATCTCATGTGGAGAATAGACTATTTTGGCAAATGATGAAAGTGGTCATCTGTCTTTTCAACCCTGATGTGGAATGAAATTCACATCTGTAAAGGAAGTAGGAGTTAATTAGAAGGAAGATGCCTAATATAGTGTTCACACTTTTCAATGTTTGTCAGACAATAGGCACCAGACAGGGGTCAGGGCAGGTGGTAACTAGCTATCTTAAAGGGGAGAAGGTGTTTTAAATAAGTCAGAGAATGCTAACCCTATGAAGGCAAATTGGGGCATTAGAAATAGGAAAGAATAAATTTAAAATTAAAAATGGATTTAAAAATAAATTTAAAAATAATTTTTAAAAATATATAAGATAATAAGGAAGTAAGGGGTTAATGGAAAGAGAATTAGGGGAATATTCTAAGTAGAGGAAAGTTTATAAATTAGAATTAATATAGCATAGAAAGGTTTTAGAGGAGGTGGGTGGGAGGAACACTTAAGACTTTAATCTACATAAGGCAAAATTGCACTATGGGAATTTGAATTTGTTATGTTGACATTTGAAAATTTCGAGGGGGTGGGGATTACAGAGTGATTTAGAGTAGCTAATTAAGGCAAAATTATATTATGGAAATTTGAATTTGTTTTTATGTCAACATTTGAACATTAATTCATTCCCCTGATTCAATAGTTGGCTTTCATTATTGTATTTTATTATTTTAATTTTTTCTTCTAAACATAAATTACACCCACGTCTAAAGATGTTGGGAGTTTGTGCAGAGTCTATAATTTTCCAAAATTGAAAACTGTCTGTTGCCTATCATCTGATTTAAACATTCAAAAGTGTGAAACTATATTAGGTATCTTTGGTTAAATTTAAAGTGACCCTTCAGCTTCTACTATCACCTCCTTACAGTTAAATCCTACTTCCTTTACAGATGTGAATTTTATTCCACATGAGGGTTGAAAAGACAGACGACCACTTTTATCATTTGCCAAAATAGTCTATTCCCTACATGAGGTAAAAAGATTTTTTGATTATTCATTCATATATATATATATATATATATATATATATATATATATACTACTACTCCAAATGTTATTTTATGGCTATCTATGTTTGAGTTTTTTTTTTGTAAAAAAAATTACATTAAAATTAGTGCACATTTGAAAGACTTAATAAAATTGAAAACAAAAAAAGGGTTCAAACATGTTTTCTCCTTTCAAGGTTAAATCCCTGTTCAGATCAGATGGTTGTTTTTCCTATTCAACATCGATGCAAAAATCGTGAAAAACCCTGCCAGAGAAATATAAATCATTTTAATTAAAAATCTCAAATACACGGGCTGGTAGACAAAAAGAACTCAAACATGCCATGTATCCACAAAATTACATTTGGTATTGTAGAATTTAACTACTGATAAAAACCATTGATTCCTTATATATACACACACATATATATATATATATGTTCAATACCCAGTTAAGGAAAGATTACCTCTCTCCACATTGTCTATACCACCATTCTTGCCATAGCTAGCAGCATTAGAAACATCATCCATTTCGGTATCTGTCTATATTCCTGAGATGAGGTATTATGTACATTATTCGGGCTATTGTCCTCATCTTTGTCGCTACATTTATTACAACGTTTTGGCACAGTGGATAAAGATGTTAGTTAGATCCAGTGACAGGACGCAAAGAGTGTGAGTTCAATACCCAGTAAAGGCAGTGGAGAACTTTCAGAGGGGAATTAACAGGAGATAACTGATAACTGACATCCATTAAACATGACACATGGAACTAGAACAGTCTACCCCAGTGAGCAAAATAAAGGGTTCAGTTCAACATTCCAACCACCTGAAGAAGGCCGGAGCGTACAATGGCCAAAACATTGTAATAAATATGGCAACAAAGATGAGAACAATAGTCTGAATAATGTAAATAATGATTATCCATTTCACCTCAGGGGTGACGCATTATCACATGTGTATGCAAGATCAATGGACATGAGATGATCAGGATTGATACAAGCCATCAATTTGCCAGCATAATCCCAGAACCAGGCACACCTGACAACAGTGGTAGAAGACATGCATAGCCATTTCTTCTAAACCAAGGTCACACTGATAATAATCATGGCATATCTGCTCAGCCCTCTCTGAAAGCCATGTCATTGAGAGACAGCCCATTCCAGATCAATTTTCAGGTAAGTGAAAATTCAGGGCTGTTGAGGTAATTTGCCACTGGCACCCAGAGAGAGCACAACTCTGTCACCAACAAGCCAATCCAGCCTGATATGATGTTCTTCTAGGCTGTGAAAAGTCACTGAACTGGGAGTAGCATGCAAGTACACTTGATATCCCATAAAGAATTCAGACTGATTCTGAGGTTTACAGTGGTGCTCAACCTCGGAACAGACAGGAGTAATACTAGGGAAATCTTTTATCAGTGTGTGGCATAAGAAAACCAACCACAAGGCATGTCGGTGATTCACCAAGTTTTAACATGACATGGACATGGGGCACAGACAACTTTGTGGATCTTTGGTTTACCTCCACCCAACAAGAGGGAGAAAAGTAAGTGCCCGATCACCTTCCAACAGTTCTTGCAGAGAGAAGTACTGACAATAAGTAAAGGTTGAGGGGAAATGTACATGGAGCACGCCTATCCTTTAAGGATAACCATCTTTGGACCCAAGTCCAGATCGACACTTCTACCTTCATCAGTAGCTCCAACCAATTCTTCCCCAGCTGGATCTCCCACTCAAACCACACTCCAAGAATGCGAATGAGACTATCAGTCCAACTGAAGGACACCAGAAGAGCAATGCCTTTTCCAAGAACCTAACCCCAAACCAGAAAACATGTAATTAATCTTATACCTTCTGTACCACCTCAATATTGTCATGGCATGACATGAATATGGAGATGTCATTGGTATATACAGAAACCCTGGCTTGAGCTCCACCAGGGACAACAATTCCATCTAAGGCCGTACAGCCTACCCTGTCCCTCAGCCGGCTAAGTAGAGGCTCCAATGTCAATACATAAAGTAGTGGTGACAGCAGACAACCCTGACAAACAGACTGAAACAGCACAAAAGTGCTCAACCACTTCCCATTCACTTCTAGTAGGGAGTGATACAAAAGGCTGATCTACTTGCAGAAGTTGAGTTTGAATTCATGACCTGCAGAACAGTAGCCAGGTACTGATCGTTGACCTTTTCGAATGCCTTGGTCTAATCCAAATTGATCAGTGCAGCTTCCTCATCATCTTTTACAGCCTATAGGTTCATGTGAATGAGATGCAAGTTGCTCTGAATAAATTCAGCCCTTCATAGCACAAGTCTACTCCAGTCCCAAACAGAATCTTGGCAACTGAAAGCAAACACTATCTTTTCTTTAACTCTGTGTTATGGGCCTGAAATCATCTAAATCTAACCCACCATGCTTGTCATTTTTCAGCAGTGTGATCACACCCCTGGAGATCCAGTCTGGGACAGACCCCTGCAAAACCAGATGTTGAACACCACTCTCAAAATCAGAACAAATGTGTGCGACAAAAGTAGGGTAAACCATCAAATCCTGGAGATTGCCATTGTCAGTCCCTCTTCAATGGCAAGTGGACTTTGTCCTCTGTGATATCACCTTCACTTCAGTTGATGGAAATTGGCTAAATAGCTGCAAAACTCTTTGTCACAGAGACCAGGCTTCTTTTATTTAATTTTTTATTTCCATTCAGGAAATGCTGTCGAAACATCACACACATGTCGTCAGTCACCCACAGGATATGCCCATCTGGAGTGTCAATCTGCCAAATGTAATGATCAGAACCTCAATGTATTTCCTCCTTGTGAAATTCTGCACCCATATTCACAGCTTTTTTTAGACATCTTGCTTAACATATGCCTAACTACTTGAACCTGGTAGCACTTGCTAGCTGATTGCTGCAGGGCCTTCCTAGCTAGGCCTATCTCTAGGGAATCCCCCCAGCCTCTTCCCAGGCTAGACTATCTCTAAGTGCCTTCACCTTCTTAGCCTTGCCTTATCTAGAGTGAGTCATTGACTAAATTCAGTGGTGAAAGACCTAATCTTATCCTTAAGCCTCTCCCACCACTTATTCCTAATAACTGCCCCAACTAACTCCCACTGTACTCCCACTAACTTAGCTGTTGCCAGAAGCCCCTCCTGTCTAGTAAGAACAAGTTGAACTTCCAGTGTCCAGCCATTCTAGGCCTAGAGTCTAACACCATCCAGGCACAGACAAGTTTGTGGTCCGAATAGCTTAACAATCTAGCAAATCTAGATTGACCCTTTCTCACTAACATTCTATCCAGATAGCTGACTACCTGGGTAGATGGCCACTTAATAGCCCACATCTCTTACCCAGTGTGATCAACACCATATCTATTGACAAGACTAAACTCATCGATCATATCAACCAGGCTACTATCATGAAGACTCCTGCTAGTTCCCTGTGCTCTAAATAATTTGGGGTCCAGGATGGCACTAGATCCACCAGGAATGTGTGTGTGTTTGTTCTTTCATCAGGTGGAAACCTGATGAATGAACACACACGCACTATTAGAAAATCAATTTTCAT